ACGAATTTGAGGTATGTTGGCTAAACTACTCTCTTAGAATTGCACCCCCCCCCCCATTTCGAAAACCACTCACTTCGTCTCTAACACTTAACGAACCAAACCCTAGCCGCCTAGGATTCCCACGCCGCTTCCATCGCAAACCACCGACAGAAATCACCTCACGACGGTTCCGGTGGTCCAAGCTTCCCAAATTCACACCATGAACCCCCTTCACCTCCTCAGTCCATATCTCCAACTATTTTCTTTCGAATCACTATCAAACTCTTCGAATCTCAAATAGAAATGTCAATACCAAAACCCTAACTACTCCAACCCGCCCCAAATTAACACCCTATAGTCCTTGCCCCTACCTAAACCTCAAACTACCCTTATCCCCCCTCGAATCAACCCTAATTTGATCGAATTTCAAATCTCAAATTCCGGAAAACCCTAAATTTTCCCCTCTTCCCTTCTTGGTCAGTACGTGGTCGGGTGAACACCAAACCGTCATTAATCGATTGTTCCTTGTTAAGGACAGTCGATTAATGATAGTTAAAGGTTCATTTCTTTCTTTAAAGAGGTTGTTCAAGTTCATGAAAAGTTTCAATTCGAAGCAAGCAAGGGTATTTTTCTTCTACTTTGTTTTATTTGTTTCCTTCTGATCTTCTCCTCTTCTTTCGTTCTTCATGGGTTTGTTTTGTTTAATTGCATGACTAGGGTTTCTGGTTTTAAGTTTGTTAATTTGCTTTTGTGCTTAATCATTAATGATGGTCAGTTAGTTTAGGGGTAATGTTTGAGTTTGCCATTAGGTCATTAGGGTTCCAGGTTTTTTCCAATTTGGGTTTGTTTGTGTTCAATGAAATTGAAATCAGCATGTTAGTACCATTCGATTCCCTGTTAATTGGTTGATTTAATTGATTCAAAGGATGAAATAGGTTATCATTGGTTGTTACTTGCTAAATGTAAATTTTAAATTGTTCAATCGATGGATTGTATCTGATTTCATTTCTTGTTAAACCTATTCAGGTTTTAAAAGAAAAAAAACTGATGCCATTTGATTCAAGTTGCTTGTGATTTCTATTAGAGAATATTTGTTTAGTTTGTAAATGTTCAGGACTTTTAGGGTGTTAAATGAACAAAAAGAAACTTAGGGGATCATAGAGGGTTAGATAGTTGTTGAAATCAGATAATATTTAGGCTGGAATGTTCTAGAAAAGAGGGGCAGCTAGCCTCATTTGGTTAGTACAAAGTACTGAAAGCAATAAGGGAAAACCAGCTATCCAATTCTGTTGGAATATGCTTTTTGTGGCTGAGGAATAATTCCTACAGCACATGGCATCTTTGGTACCTATATATGGTACCATTTCTATACAAAAAAATTGATTGAGATTTGGATAACCTAAAAAAGACCTAAAAGTTCTCTGCATTTTTTCTCATTCTAAGTTTACTCAAAAATAAAATACAGACTCAGCCTGATTTCTCTACACAAAACCTCTGAAAAGCACATCTGATTTTGCAAAAACTTAGAAGAATACTCAGAATATTTCTCTTTCAAAATTTCTGGGCTTTTGGTTGCAAGATGGTTTGAGTTGAGACTGCTGTGATACTGCTGTTTTGCTACTTGATTCCGTTGGTTTTTCAGCACTGTTAAGTTGTTTCTTCTAAGTTTGTGGTTTGCTGGGCTAGTTTTGATTATTTTGGTTTTTTGACCTTTATTTGGTCTTTTATCAGCCTATTTCTGCATTTAGGTGTGTTCCTTTTACCTTCTGTAACTATTTGCTTGGAAAAGCTGAATGTAAAACTGGTGTTTTAAAGACCTTATCAGTTCATTTGCTTGTTTTAAATGTCCATGACTCCTTGAGATGTTTTGGTGTGTGCTTTACTGGTTTGTTTGATCATTTCCATTTAACCTAGTTCCTATGTGACCACCTACTTAAAACTCAGTTTTCTTTAAGTGTAGTAAGTATTAAGTAGTGTGTGCTTTTTGGTTTGATACAGTCCAGAAGGCTAACTTGTTTGGTTTGACCACAAGTTGTTCAAAGCCATCCAAGGTGCAATTTAAATCAAGGCAGCTTTTCATGTCAATTCTACAGAAGGCAGCATGATAACTGTGTACGTTTTTATCTTTAAGTTTTAGCCAAAATTTTAAAGTTGTTTTTATGCTTATAAGGCTCTTCATGTAATTAACTCGTTTTAGTTTTTTTAGCATCGATTTCTCCTATCAAATGTATTCAGGACTGGTTGTTTTAACATTGAACTAAATGGGGATCTCATTTTGTAAAGGAAGGTCTGTTAAATGCTTTGAATTTCATGTAATGTACATATTGGGCCTGGTAAATATTCAGGCCCATATCTGTGGAATTTGACCATACCCAGCTTTGACTCCCGATGGAAGAACTCACATAGCAGGCAGTGATTGGTCCAAGCTTTCAGGGGCCTAGGATATTGGGCTTGGGCTTTAGGCCCAGTAGTTTAGTTTAGTTATAAAGTTTCTCTCATGAATTGTAGTATAAATGCACACCTTTGTTATTTTTCTTTTGTAAATCATAGTAGTATAATGAGTCTTCAAGTATGAATCGAATTTTCAACATTTTGGTTTTTCTTTCTGATTTTTTCCTAGTTTGAAGCTGAATGAATTACAATTGTTGCAAACATATGTTGTGTGAATTTGGGCCTCAAATGTAAAGGTGGATAGGCCCAGCCAATAATTGTCATAACTGGGCCCGCCTATTATAAGTCCCAATCTGGGCAGACCTGGCTTAAGGTCAAAGGCTACGATGGCCTTTGAGGTTTTCTCATTTCTGGGCTGATTTTAAGCCCAATGCCCTTCAGACCACTAAGCGTTGATCCCTAACCAAATGACTTAGCGGGCCACTGCTAGCCCAATTCCCTTTCAATCAATTTAGATCCAATGCATGTACCCCAAAAACTGTTTATAATTAATAGCTTTTGTTAGGCTTAAGTTAGTTTAAATAAGAACATCCTTTTTAGAACGCCTTAATTAAATATATTTCTTTTAAAATCATTTGAGATGTGCCATGCTGAATAAAACCCCTAAGCCCATGGCCCTCATAAAACTAGTTAAATCTTATAGAAAATTTGAGGTGTACCATTTTCTATTAAATAACCCATGGCCCCCATGAATTTAATTCAAACCTTGTAAAAATTGAGGTGCTCCATCAATTAAACTCTCCATGGCCCTCACAAATGTTGTTATCAATTTGAACCTTCGTAGTTGCTTTAGGTGCGTTCTTTAAATAATTCATCATAGCTACGGGTACGGTTCCCGTAGCGTAGTTGTGATTTATAATAACTAAAATCCGAATGTACATTTCATGTGACCCAACTTCAATTATCAACAATGCTAAATAAAACGTGTCGTGAACCGCGGGTGCATTTCATGTAGCATGGTTTAAGACGTGTTTTAAATAGCGATGAATTTTCCTAAAAATTAAAAACGGTTTTAAAGCTAAAATGCACAATAGGTTAAAACATGTAATTAATTAGATAATTAGGCCATTTTAATAGTTTAAGTGACCGTGCTCGAACCGCGAAACCCGGGAATGCCTATCACCTTCTCTCGGGTTAACAGAATTCCTTATCTAGAATTTCTGGTTCGCAGACTTTTAAATAAAGTCAAATTTCCTCAATTTGGGATTTTTAAATAAATCGGTGACTTGGGACACCATAATAAATATCCCAAATGGCGACTCTGAAAAATTAAATAAATAAATAGATTTCGAACAATGCCACTTAAATTGAAAAAAACTCCCTTATATAACCCTTCGGGTGGTAAAAGAGGAGGTGTGACAGCTCTGGCGACTCCGCTGGGGATTATAACCTATAACTTTTGGTTCATGGTTCAAGAATTCGAGCTTAGAATAACTATTATAGTTGGCTTTGTTTTTTATCTGATTTTTACATATTTGAGCCTAATGTGCTAATTGCCGTTTTTTACCACTTTGATATTGCTTGAAATGTATATAAATTGTTATGAAACCCTCGTCTCTCTGAGTCTTCTAAATCATCTGGGAAGTGTGCACTTCACATAACTACTTTTCTGTTAGAGTCATATCTCAATTTTAGAACGAGGTTCGGACAAGTTGCAAAGCCGGCGAATCTTTTGTATTCCCGGTACCTGCCCCCCTCGACTCGAGTTGTCCGATCGCGTAAGCCAGGTCTAGAACAATACACCCAGGGTCTTAAACCTAGTATAACAAAGCCTCATGTCAGATCCTTAGTAGGAACGCTTGTTTTCATCACGTGTATTTGACTTAGGGGACTCAACACAGGGGTTGGGTGCGTCTAGGACAGGTGTACCCAAAATGAAAAAACCATCCTGATGCATTCTACTTGCTACTTGTGCATTTATTTGCTTCAGATTGCATGTTGACCGGCTTTGAATAATGGAGAAAAGTTAGGAAAAATCAAGTTGAGGATTGAGAGAGATAATTTCCCGTCTTTAAAAAAACTTGTATCCAAAAAGTACCAAAACACTGCCGAAATTTTGAGAAAGAAAAGGAATTTTGCTTCAAGAAAAAATATTTGGTATTATCTTATTATGTCAAAACTGCCCTAACTACGCAAGTTTGATTATCACCGGATGCGGGATATGTAGGCAATCCTCACCGGGTCCAACTCCATTTTTGCAAAAATAACCCAAAAACAATTTTTTTTTTGTTGTTTTGTCATAAATAAGTTAGGTGATGTCGTTCTTGTCTAAATAGCCAAAATATCCCCAAAAGGGCATCGGAAGGCTACTTTTCCAAGAATAGCCACCTATGGTTCCTTTTTCAAATTTTGGTAAATTAGCAAACACAACCCTAAAATCATCTTTTCTGAGGTGCTGAAAGGTTGTATTTGCAAAGGCGGGTTGTTGTTTTGAAATGATTTTTTTTAAAAAAAACTGATAACTTTCTGTTGAGTCAAAATAAATCATGATCTTTTAACCAATCATTCTATTAAATGTGCAGGATGAGCACAATTGAAAATGAACCCTTCGCAGTCCTTGAAGAAACCCATTAGGACTCCATATGTGGTAGAATGACTTAGGAAAAAGTCAGCAGAGATACTATGGTAAAAGTTTTGGGCGGTCTTGTTGGTCTTTTGAAAATCAAACAGAGGTTGGATGTAATCGAGGCTTTGATACCTTTTTGGGACCTAAAGTATAATGTGTTTCATTTTTCTGATTTTGAGCTAACCCCCATGCTTGAGGAAGTAGCAGGCTATGCCGGGTTTAGTGGGAATCTCAGAAGTCGGTAACCAGTGGCACCAAGAACAGTGACTCCTCATAAGTTTTTGGACCTTCTAAGCATTAGTCGGGACGTTCAAGATGGAAATTTATCTGAGGGATTTTGCACATTCTACTTCTTGTACAAGCGTTATGGCGATCCCCACGGTTTTGAGGCTCCAGATACTGGCCTAACTCATTCAAGAAACAAAGATAAATGGGAAGCACATCGGGGACTAACTTTTATAGTGGCATTCCTGGGTGTTTTAATCTGCCTAAGAAAGGATGGAAATATAGAATTGTGTCTTATGGGAATGGCTAACGTCATGATTAAAGCACCCTTGTTCCAACAATCTTAGCGGAGATTTATCGAGCTCTAACTGTCTGCCGAGAAGGGGAAAAATTCTTCGAGGGCTGTAACATGCTTCTACAACTTTGGATACAAGAACCATCGCCTGGGATACATGAACTATGGCATGACTGGTCTGAATTGCATTGAAGAACATGAAAACCGGATGGTTGGTTTTGAATTTCCAGAAGGTAGAGAGGCCTGGTTTGCGGATTTGAGTTCCTTAACTTCAGACAAAATTGAGTGGACATTCGGTTAGCTTGTTACAACCCATATCCACATGTGTTAGTTCATGCCATATATTAGTTAACATAAATCCAAGAAGTAATTATCTTTGAGATGATAAGAAGTCAATCCTATTGGTCTTAAGTGATACAAGAGTGTATAAGGGTGATTAACCAGTATTAGAAGTTAAACGAATCAAGGATGTTGTAACTCGTATTTTCAGGTAATCTAGCGGTGCTTAATACACTCAAGAGGTCATGTATTAAGGTATTTTAATCATATAATATCCGTATCATAAGTCTTGAAGTCAAACGAGTTATGAAACAAAAGTCGACAAAAGTTGTCTCAACTTAGGTTCATAATGTTACTTAAACATTAGGTCAAATATTTCTAATCTTTTATCCAAATTTACAAGGAATTACGGGGTGATATACCAACCAAATTAAAGATCTATGAGTCAAGTTTCCAACTCATTAAACCGTTCATAGATACGATCTCGGAGTAGAGAGATATTCGCATTTTTGCGAGACGGCGCCAAGCACCTCTCTATGGGGAACACTAAGGCGGTTTAAGATATTTGGACCTATATAGGATGCCTCCAACCCGTTTTAAGTCATTTCTTCTCATTATTTTCAGACCTTAGAACCCTAGGAACATCCTCTCAAGGTTCTCTCAAGATTCAAGACCCAAAAAAAGGGCAAACAACACAAATCAAGTGTCGGGAATTCCGTGGCGCTAGTAAGTCTCTTGTTCTTCTTGTTGTTGCTCATTTTTGTGTCATTCCTTCTAAAGTTATTCTAGTGCCGAAAATACTAATTGAACGCTAGTTTCGCTTTTTTGTTGTTGTGGCAGCATTGGAGGGATATTTCATGGAAATTTAAGGTCAAATTGGAGTTGTTCTTTCTGTATAAAGGTAAGGAACCTCTTACTCTATATGTATTTAAGATTATCCAAGTTGCGGCTAAGCCATTGAAGCTAGAACTTGTGAAATATATATCGAAAGGCTTGGTAGTAATGTTATTATTTTGTGGACTGTTTTGCGTTGTTGTTGGGCTGCGTATTTTACTACTATCTTGTGGAGTTTTGGAGGAGGAAGGGTGTGGAGAAACACCATATATATGTAGGGTTATGGGCTGATAGTTATTCGTAACATTTCCAGGTTGTTTGACACGACTACGGTGGTCGTCGTATGTATGGAGTGATTAGGCTGTGTGTGGACTATTTTGGGAGGCTCAATATGTTTATTATTGATGTTGTTTGGGCTGTTAGGTGACTGTTTTGAATGGTGTGAAGTCATATATGGTGTAAGGGTTCAGGCAGGTGCAGCTCCCCCACAACCTGTCTATCAGGACCTGCAGCACGACATGCAGCGTCCACAAATAAAAGGATGTCAGTACGAATAAAGTACTGAGTATATAAGGCAGGGAACCATAAGTATGATCAGTAATGTAAGCAAGGATAGAGAATATACAACCTGTAACATCTTAGTACCTCTGAGGGCTACTTACATGAAATGCATGATACATATGTATAAATACATAAACCTTTAAAGCATTCGCCTCTGTGGGCATCATCATCATCATATCGTACCCGGCCATAATAGGCTCGGTAGAATCGTACCCGGCCACGTGGAGCTCGGTAAAACCCAACTGATCAGTGGTTGCACAATAGGTGCCGTACCCGGCCAACTATAGCGTGGCTCGGTAGAGTAAAATAGATACATATATATAATGCATGCTCGACTCATGGAATCACATTCTAAACCTTTCGGAGTGACGTAAGGTCGGTATCCTCTGTA